CTTGAGCCAAATACAACTTCAAACATTTGTTTGCATTAGGGTTCAGTTTAAGCAGTCAACTGACTGCTCTGTTAAAATTGTTAATGTCACCTCCATATTATCACTGAACACATGACATATCATTTTGAGTTCACATCACCCCTAGTGTTTGCTATAACTTCAATGCTGAGAATCACTGACTGAACAGAAATTAAACTTTGCAGGAAAGACTTTCCAGGTAGATGCTTCCCTGATCACTACAATCTTAATCTTTATGTCTAGGATCAATTATTATCTTTTTCTATAAATTCTTATAATTTACACTTCTTGCCTCCATCACTTACAATCATTATCTATCTATCTATCTAGCTATCAAGCTAGCTAGCTAGCTAGACAGACATAAATAGATAGAAAGATAGCTAGTTATCTTTCTATCGATTTATGTTCATATCTGTTTAGCTATATATCTATCTTGAGTGTCTCTTAGGCTTTACTGAGTTAGAAATAAGTGAAAAAATAATAAAAATATTACTAATACCCTTGTAAGGAAAAGTTAGTCTCTTCAGTAGGCTGGTGTCTTTGTCAAGTTAATATGCAACAAGTATTATTGGTTGACCTTGTAATGGTATCAACAAGCACACTTACTCACTACGTCATTTGCAGATTTACTTATATTCTTTAGAATAGATTAAGAAGTAAAATAAAATGGATAGAAATTCACAAAAACATAGACTTTTGATCATTTTTAAAAATAAAGAATTTTTCTCCTTTGTCAGGAAGGAAATGAACGTAAACACAATTTTAAACGAATTCATTCAAAAAGTCAAATATTTTTGAAAATAATTCAATATTCAATTTTTCTCTTTTAAAATGAAAATACCTGAAAAGAAAGAAATGAACCTAGAAGGACATCTGGTCGAGTGGCTTTCATTAATTTTATTCTTTGCCAATGAATTTGTAATGATTTCTGTTAAAGTCATTGAGCAGGTGCTGCCCAAAAAGGAATTGACAAGGGAGATCAAGTGGAAGAAAACCAGCTGGAATTTGGTTAGTTCTGACCAATATCATGTCTTTAAATGCAAATATGCATTTTAAATAGGATAGAAAAATGAAAAGTTTATGCAGTCAACCAAAAGGAAAGGAAAATATTTCCAAAGATTGAAATAAAGAGACTAACATAGATAGATAGATAGATAGATAGATAGATAGATAGATAGATAGATATGAACAGACTGGGATAGATAGATAGATAGATAGATAGATAGATAGATAGATAGATAGATAGATAGATATGAACAGACTGGGATAGATAGATAGATATGAACAGACTGGGATAGATAGATAGATAGATAGATCTGAACAGACTGATAGATAATGAACACACATAGATAGCTAGCTAGCTCGCTAGATAGATAGATAGGAACAGACTGATAGATAGATAGATAGATAGATAGATAGATAGATCTGAATAGATAGATAGATAGATATGAACAGACTGATATAGAGATAGATAGACAGATATGAACAGACTGATAGATAATGAACACACATAGATAGATAGATAGATAGATAGATAGATAGATAGATAGATCGATAGATAGATAGATATGAACAGACTGATAGATAATGAACACACATAGATAGATAGATAGATAGATAGATAGATAGATAGATAGATATGAACAGACTGATAGATAATGAACACGCATAGATAGATAGATAGATAGATAGATAGATAGATAGATATGAACAGACTGATAGATAATGAACACACATAGATAGATAGATAGATAGATAGATAGATATGAACAGACTGATAGATAATGAACACACATAGATAGATAGATAGATAGATAGATAGATAGATAGATAGATAGATATGAACAGACTGATAGATAATGAACACGCATAGATAGATAGATAGATAGATAGATAGATAGATAGATAGATAGATAGATAGATATGAACAGACTGATAGATAATGAACACACATAGATAGATAGATAGATAGATAGATAGATAGATAGATAGACAGATATGAACAGACTGATAGATAATGAAAACACATAGATGGATAGATAGATAGATAGATAGATAGATAGATAGATAGATAGATAGATAGATATGAACAGACTGATAGATAATGAAAACACATAGATAGATAGATAGATAGATAGATAGATAGATAGATAGATAGATAGATATGAACAGACTGATAGATAATGAACACGCATAGATAGATAGATAGATAGATAGATAGATAGATAGATAGATAGATAGATAGATAGATATGAACAGACTGATAGATAATGAACACACATAGATAGATAGATAGATAGATAGATAGATAGATATAAGAACAGACTGATAGATAATGAACACGCATAGATAGATAGATAGATAGATAGATAGATAGATAGATAGATAGATGATATGAACAGACTGATAGATAATGAACACACATAGATAGATAGATAGATAGATAGATAGATAGATAGATAGATAGATATGAACAGACTGATAGATAATGAACATAGATAGATAGATAGATAGATAGATAGATAGATAGATAGATAGATAGATAGATAGATATGAACAGACTGATAGATAATGAACACACATAGATAGATAGATAGATAGATAGATAGATAGATAGATATGAATAGACTGATAGATAATGAACACACATAGATAGATAGATAGATAGATAGATAGATAGATAGATATGAACAGACTGATAGATAATGAACACACATAGATAGATAGATAGATAGATAGATAGATAGATAGATAGATAGATAGATAGATAGATATGAACAGACTGATAGATAATGAACACACATAGATAGATAGATAGATAGATAGATAGATAGATAGATAGATAGATAGATAGATATAAACAAAGATGAGGATAGATAGATAGATAGATAGATAGATAGATAGATAGATATAAAACAAAGATGAGGAAGATAGATAGATAGATAGATAGATAGATAGATAGATAGATAGATAGATATAAACAAAGATGAGGATAGATAGATAGATAGATAGATAGATAGATAGATAGATAGATAGATAGATAGACAGATATGAACAGACTGATAGATAATGAACACACATAGATAGATAGATAGATAGATAGATAGATAGATAGATAGATAGATATGAACAGACTGATAGATAATGAACACACATAGATAGATAGATAGATAGATAGATAGATAGATAGATAGATAGATAGATATGAACAGACTGATAGATAATGAACACACATAGATAGATAGATAGATAGATAGATAGATAGATAGATAGATAGATATGAACAGACTGATAGATAATGAACACACATAGATAGATAGATAGATAGATAGATAGATAGATAGATATGAACAGACTGATAGATAATGAACACACATAGATAGATAGATAGATAGATAGATAGATATGAACAGACTGATAGATAAATGAAACATACATAGATAGATAGATAGATAGATAGATAGATAGATAGATAGATAGATAGAACAGACTGATAGATAACAGACTGATAGATAATAGATACATAGATAGATAGATAGATAGATAGATAGATAGATAGATATGAACAGACTGATAGATAATGAACACACATAGATAGATAGATAGATAGATAGATAGATAGATATGAACAGACTGATAGATAATGAACACACATAGATAGATAGATAGATAGATATGAACAGACTGATAGATAAAGAACAGAAGTAGATAGATAGATAGATAGATAGATAGATAGATAAACCGATAATGAACAGATATAAATAGCTAGCTTGCTAGAAAGATAGATTTTAACAGAAAGTGATGGATATGAACAAACAGGTAACAAAACAGATTTGAACAAAATCACCCCCACATATATGTGTGTTCGTGTGTGTATGTGTGCATGTGTGTACGTGTGTGTGTGATAGACAGTTATGAAAAGTCTGGAACACAGAGAGAGAGAGAGAGAGAGAGAGAGAGAGAGAGAGAGAGAGAGAGAGAGAGAAAAGAATAATGTATAATATCAAAAAAACTAAAGCAGAAATCAAAACAGACGCTTAGATTTGATCAATTTTTATTCATTGTTTTCTATTAAGTTTTCAATCCCAACTTGCATTGATTTCATTTGCCAAGAACTGGACTCTAAATAGAATTAAACCGACTTAAGTGGGGAGGGGCACGTAAGCACCGATAAACAAATCTTATTGTGGAAATGGCAATCAGAAGAGAATAAACTTCTCTTGAGAATAGATCATTAAAATGCCAAAAAAAAATAGCAACATCCTTAATGCACAGTGGGAGGAAGAGTGAGAATGGAAGAGAAGAGAAGAAAACAGGAGAGAGAGAGAGGAAGAGATGGAAGGAAATAGAGAAGGTGAGAAAGAGGGCAAAATAATGATGTGGGTAGAGAGAAATAAAGAAAAGTGGAGGAAAGGAGAAATGAGAGGTAAAGAGAGAGAGTTTAAAAAACAGAGAAGAGAAGAAGAAGGTTACAAAGAAATTACTCCCACTCTCTAATAGGGAGAGAGAGAGAGAGAAAGAGATTTGGATGGCGATAGATACAAAATGAAGAAAACAGATCTGAGTGAAAAGAGAAACAGCAAGAGGAAAAGAGAGAGAGAGAGAAGGAAATAAAGAGGGAGAAAAAAGTGGAGAAAGGAGGGAGAGGGTGAGATATCAGTAGGGAATAGAAAGAGAGGAAAAAGGTGAGATGGGAAGAGTGAGTGAGTGAGTGAGTGAGTGAGTGAGTGATTGAGTGAGTGAGTGAGTGAGTGAAAGTGTGCACAAAGGTGAAAGAATGCTTTCAACAACCTGCTAAGTAAGTACAAATTGAGTCAAGTTAATTATATATTTCATTATTTTTTATTTTTTTCAGGTGTTTTTTTTTTCATTTTTTTTTCTTTAATTGCATATCAACTGCAAAGAATAGAAAGTGAGATTCTATGGTCAGGATACTTGATTTGATATTCTTAAAGAAAGTGTAACCTTTTTATGCTGTTAAGCATTCAGCTGTCAATACACCAGCATGCACCCCCGTCCCTATCAATTTGTTTCTACTTGTATTTACAGATGGCGACAGTGCAGACAAATATGCACAGATCTCAGGTTCCAAATTGGTTGCTATATTGAGGGAAATTATTACTGTACACTAAGAAGAATGAAATATGGAATCAAAAAAAAAAAATGGCAATATAATGCTTCCCCTACAAATTTTTCTTTATTCTCCGCATTATGCAAAAGGCATTCTTATTTCTCTTACTTTTATTCTTGTTATACTTATCTAGTATATGAGATCTTCATCCTCTTATAGGTGTTTTATCCATCCGGCAGTCTTTTTTTCTTGCATAGATAGTTTGAGAACAAGCTGGTATCAAAAATTTCCGTAGGCAGAGTTAATCAATGAGTCAATCCAAAAAAATCCTAGATATATATTCTGAGCATACGACAGTGTATGTTAATTTTTCAATTACCTGTAAGTAACATGCTGATGATAATCTTTTTTGGAAGGTCATTTAAGCTGCACTTCCTTCTCTTCTATACAGGTACACTCAATTTCAGCAAACCCCACCCTCATTTGGTTAATATTTCTTTGCCAATATGTATGTCCCACTCAAGCAGCTTCTACCCATGAATCATTGCTTTGCAGAACTTTCTCCCAAGAGGACATTTTATATTCTTAACCTGTTCAAATCTCGGGTTAATTGGTATCATCCCCACATATTGTTGCTTGCTCTGTAACCCTAATCCTACAATGGCTCTTGGGCCTTATACAGGGTGAAAATCATTGTAAGACAAATAAAACTGGAATTGTTTTAAATATGCATAAAAAATGGCAGCTACATTAGCAAAAATATTAAATATAATCATTTTCCATAAGAACTTAGATTTCAAAATGTATACATACATGTATCTATATATCACTATATATATATATAATAATAATAGCTGGCCAATCATATTTGAGGATACTCATCTAATAGGGTGGCTAGCCAATCCCTATTGCAGACGCTCGCTCAGGCACGTTTGTGTTTGTTCAACACCCACAGAGCCCACCAGTGGTTTATACTGCAACAATGCTGAGCAGAACTTAGCTACAGTTTCTAGGAGAGAGCATGTTATCTTGCATGTTCAACAATCTGAACAATGCCAGCACGCTCAAACCCTCAGTCATGATGACTTGTGACTTCGTGCTAGCACAGCTATTGATAGCCCCCAAATGTTCTATCTACCCAATTTCACTCACAAGGCTTTGGTCAACACATGGTATGGTTTTCAGGCACTTTCCAAAGGTGCTGCATGCAGGGATGGTCCACCTCTTGACCAATAACATCAGGAAGCCTCCTTCCTGATAAATCAGCCGTGGTGGGATTCAAACCCAGGTCTCATGGTCAGAAAGTAAAAGTTCTAACCACTTGTCCATGTGCCTATATTGTTTTCCTGTGCCATAATTTTCTGAACTTTTGATAAAAAATGATGAAGAAAGGTTTATTTCAGGTTATTTTTTAAAAATGCCACCTCAACACAAAATTTCTAAAATCATATATAAGTTCAGTAGTACTATGACTTGCTGGAGAATTCTAGAACTTTATGGAACCTTTTAGAATTTTATGGAACCTTCTAGAACTTCCTGGGGCTTTCTTGAACTTTATGGAACCGTCTAGAAATTGTTTGTGTTTATTTGTAAGTTTGTATGTTTTGCTATAGCTATAAACTGTTAAATGCTTTAAAAAACAGATAAGTACTACTAATTTTATCATTGAAAAGAAAAGTTTCTGAATTATTTTGATTTTTTTTTTACCCGTAGTGTGTATATGGTAAAACCAAATTTTGGTTTTGGGGTGACCTTTTTCAAAAAGCAAAACAAACTGATGCCTTTTTCATTTCTTTTGAACAAAAGTTCATTTATTTATAATACAGGAATATAGAGTTACAAAAAAGGCATAACTCTAATATGCTGTGCTACATTGGCAATGAGGTCTTATCATTTTATAATGAAACGGCTGCACACTACCATAAGTTCTATGCAAAGTGTTTCTTTTTTTGCATTTGTCACTTGTGGAAATCTTTAGGATTCTTGCTTTCCTGTCAAATTTGATCTTCAAAAATTTAGATCCAACGTCAATCATTTTTTTCAGTATTCTTAATTCCTGTTGTTTTATTGTTTTCCTGCCTTTTTTCTTTCTTCTCATATTCTTTCACACTCAGCAGCCCCTTGCATCTTAGTGGCTTTATTGCCTTGCTTGAGGTGAAATGATTAAAAGAAACTAGATATATACACACACACACACAGATAGATAGATAGATAGATATGTTATATTTAGTGGGTACATACATTTGAGTAGATATTATTGATTTTTGTTTAACTGTGAAATTAATATCTACCTGCCTAGAGATTTAAAGTGTTACTAGAAAATGTGCCTCTCAACAGGAGTCTAACTTGTATTCCCATTTTAATCTAACAAACCACCTTCAAGCCATCAAACCATGAGAAACCATCAGCACAAAGCAATTACCCTATTTAAGAAAAGCCAATCTATCATTGGGATCTTCCAAGGTATATATCTGCAAATTTTACTTTCACACTCAAAGCATAAACAAAGTAAAACTTCATGCAATTAGTGGACTTTTTATGTTAATACATTAATTGGTTGTACATCTATCTACCACACACACACAGATATATATATATATATATATATATATATATATATATATATATATATATATATATATATATATATATTTTGAACAATAAGAAAATAAAAAATAAAAAATTAAAATCATTAGACACACTGGGTTGTAGATTAATATTCTTTTCGTTTTTTTTTATTATTATTATTCCATTTAGATTCCTCGACTAGTTTCGACTGAAATGGCCATCATCGGGAGGAGAAATATTTCTGCTTGCTGTTGGCAGGGAACTACAGAAATGAATGTCTTTTGTTGGAGAAAATGAACTTTTGTCTGTAGTTTTTCATTTGTTTTTTTTTTTTATCTTTTTCACATGAATCTTTTAACATTCCTTGTGTTGGTCAAACAGTCTCTTTTAAGTTGTTATTTGAGATAAGAACTGGATAGATACATTTTATCCTGAATTCTCTGGTCAGTTTGACAGTTTTATTGGACCTGGTGAGGGGATGTGTCTCTGTTTAGTATATATATATATATATGTATAAACAGAGAGAGAGAGAGAGAGAGTGTATCAAAAATACTTTGACAAATTTTGGGGGTGGGTTCCTTCCACAAAAACAACATGGATAAAATTTTATATAAAACATATGTCCATAGAACCTTCATTATTAAGTTTAAAGAAAGTTTGTGGTAGATGTCACTATGTTACATTTGTCATTTGTGTATATTTGTGGCTAGTCTGTGTTCCACATTTACCGTGTGTAATAGTCAGTTAACTGAGAAGTGTTCGTTTAACAGTGGCAGGATATTCATATCGTGAACAGGCAGATATGATTTTTACATAAGGTCACCCAAATGGTAATGGACATGAGGCTGCATGGCTGTATCAGATTGCATTTCCAGACTGAAGACAGCTGAGTAATCCAACCATTACCGCTGTTTATTGTCATGTTGCTGAGACAGGATCTGTGGCATCACAAACTTTAAACTGAGGAAGACCAAAATCTGTTCGTACACCTGACCAGGAAGAATACATACTATAGGCTGTTGTAGAAGATCCCGGTATCACCGCATGTCAAGTGGAGTTCCTGTATCTGCATCATTTGCAACATGTACAGGGTCTTTGACCCTCTAATCACTCACCACAGGAGAACTTTTGCCGATGATTTATTGCATAAACTGTCAATCTATTGTTTGTCTCTTCAGTCTTGTTGATGAATGAGACAACATTTCAAAGAGACAGAATAAAATATTTAGATAACCAACATTTGTGAGTAGGCCAGAATCCCCATTATACAATACAGGCTAGACACCAGCATTAATTTACGATTAATGTGTGCGCTGGAATTATAGGTATGAGTTTGGTAGTTTCATATGTTATCCCAGCTTGTCTTACAGGCGCTGTCTGCATAGACTTTATTTCAAACACACTTCCAAACCTGTTAGAGGATGTACACCTGTTAATATGAAAATGAATGTGGTTCATGCATGATGGGGCACCAGTGCATTTTAGTCACATTGTTTGTGATACACTGACTTACAGGAAATGTGGATAAGTAGGGGAGGAGCAGTTCCATGGCCTTCACAGTCCCCTTTGAATTTTTATCTGTGGGCCCACCTAAAACTATTGGTTTATGCAGTAGACATTAATAATGGGGAGACGCTTCATTGACATTTCATGGGAGCCTACGAAATCATTTGACATTGTGTGGGAGTATTTGAAAGGGTCTGCCTGTCACTGATCCAACAGGTGTATATGTGTGTAGAAGCAAGCAGAGGATATTTTGAACATTTGTCATGAGTTGTTGATATATATATATATATATATATATATATATATATATATATATATATATATATATATAAAAAAGCAAAATGTTAAATTTATAAATGTTTTCTATTTGTTCTTTATCCCATATTTGATCTCAATTCATATCTATATATGTATATATATATATATATATATATATATATATATATATATATATAGATAGATAGATAGATAGATAGATAGATATGAATGAAGATCAAATATATGTATGTATATATATATATATATATATATATATATATATATATATATATATTATAAAATATAATTTTAAGATATGCTATACTTATAGGTTAAAGTGTTCAATAGCAGGGATAGAGCATATGTAAATATAGAAGTGGACATTGAATTCAACACCCTTAGTTGACAGTCTGTTTCATGCTTAAATGGAATCTGAAACAGACTGTCACCACTGGTTGTTGACCTCAATTTCCACTTTACATGCACACACACACACACAGATATATATATATATATATATATATATAGAATGAATATGCATTTTTTTCTCAATGGTAGCACAACTTTGAGTTTCATACACAACACAATCACCAGCATTGATTGTGCAAGAAATTTAGAGGAAAATGCACATTTAATATTATAATAAACTATAGCTATGTTATTATATATCAAGGACAATTTTATTAGGCCCAACTGTTGATGTGCAATATTTAATGTGCAATATATATATATATATATATATATATATATATATATATATATATATATATACATATATATATATATATATATCATAATAATAATGGACTCTCCCATCGGTTTCGATGTATGAGGATCTGACAGCTTATTGATTCAGTTATGAAAGTTTGTGCGATAATCTTAAGTGGCAGTTAAGACCCGCTACTCGTTTACAAAGGATGCCACATATGGAGCAAGTGTGAGGATTGTGAGATGAGATCACTGTTAGATTGGCTGACCTTTTAGATCTTGTTCTTGCTTCTTGAAGATGATTCTGACAAGCAGATTGAAAATTGCTGAGTCCATTAAAACATTTTGATCTCCATTCTACCCGCTCCAAAGCTAAGCACT